GCTTCGACTCTCAAAGTGCGTGCTTTCCTCTCTTGCTGCTGCTGCTGACTGCTGGCTGCTGGCTGCTACAGTTACAGTTTGTTGCCTGTTGTTTGTTGGTTGTGCGATAAGTTAACAGTTGAAATTAATTTTTGTCACTTCATAAATCGCCAAGCAAGAGCCCGATTGTCCTCCCTCTCCCTCGCTGAGTTATGCCTGCGTTTGCCGCTGACCCAAAAAGGAAGAGAGGCGGGCAGCACTGGCTGGATGGGCCAACTTACCGTTGTAGATAAGAGAGTGGCGGGAGAGTGGAGCACTAGCAGTCCACTCCACCAGGAAGCGCTCCAATCATCCGGCAGGTAAGTATTTTGCCCAATGGCTCAATTTGCCCCAACGGGCCAGACTTCTGAGCGCCTTCGTGTGTGTGTGTGTGTGTGCAGTACCCCGTGATTATCATATGACGTGACAGGTACTAAAGGTACTCGTATTTATGGATGCATTGGGGTCATAGTGCCATTTCGTTTCAAACGCAAATTGCGCACTTAACGGCCCAAGGAACTCTTCGTGTTTCCATCATTGATTGAGTTCCTTAATGGCCTTCAAATAACAATTCTTTGCCTAATTTATGCTCAAATTGTTCCCATTGCATGGCCAAATAGATTTGAGTGGCATAAATGATCAAATGAGCATAAAAATTCATCGATTTATGGCCCAAAATTTCTGATTGCTCCCATAAACGGACGTTGGGGACTAATCCCAGTGTTCGCCTGGGGGGAGCTATCAAAAGGCACCATTACTCGACTCTAAATTAAATTGAATTTGTTGTCCATTTATGATCTCAATTATTGCCCAATTCCGTACACTCTCAAATCTGTTGAGGCCTTTGGGCAAAATGTGCAAACACTCGCCTGGCGGCCAGGGGCACCACTCAAAGCTGTAATGGGAACACGTTAAGTCCTGCCGCAGGGTGCCACTAAATCTTCATTAACAGCACCACAAAATGGCAGAATTTCCTACAGCGGAGTAATGCAAATAAAAATTAAACACAAAATTCCTTTCCAACTTTTCGCACATCATCGGACGCGGGCAGACTTTCCCAGAGAATCAAGTGCTTTTCCTATACTCGAACCGATCCTCCTACCACGCCTTTTTAATCTTTTCATTTCCATTTTATTTCCTTCTGTCTGCCTTGTGCTTCAGTTTAGAGCAATTTTCCATTTAGAACATGCAAAGGGGTTGGACGGGAGAAGAAAGAAACTTTTCCAGCAATTTTCCAGCATAGGCAGTGGCCCAGGCGGGGGGGCCCAGGGTAATTGCAGGGCAGTGTAATTGAAATTCGTTTGTTTATGCTGTCATTGTTGTTGGACCGCACCGCACCGCACCGCGTCTTCTGTCTTCTGTGCAAATTGAAAATTACTTAATGGTTCAGTGGCGATCGCTGTCCCGAGTCCCGAGTCCCGGACTACCGGTTAAATGAGTACCAAAGTGCCGGACAAATGCGAAAATTGCTCTCCTCTCGAACCGAGGTGAAGGAGGAGGAGAATGAGGTCAGAGGCGGGGACCAAAATCGCTTCAAACATAGTTTGTTTATCTTTCCAATGAACAGTAGGAACATTTGCTCAGTTCATGAACTTGTTCAACAGTGTTTGAGAGCTGTAAAAAAAAAAGGAAAGGAGCAGCAGACAGGTAGCTAGACAATAATTTAATCAATCTGTTAACATATTTCTGATATCTAAGCTTTTTTTTACTGCCAGTTAACCACTCAGGAAGCAAGCTTTAACCTTCAATTATGTTTTGAAGGATTAACAGAAAAACTATTGCAACTTTTTTCAGAGAAAAAGCGACACTTGCCGCATGGTTATTAAGCTTTGTGGTTATTCCGGCCATTTTTTGCGGATTCAGCTTGGGTTAAAAAGAGGATATGTTTTTTGCTGACAATATTCCCGGAATTATGTGGTAAATATAGGTCTTCGCCTTGAGAGCCTTCGAAAAAGAACTTGACCTATAAAAGTGGAATAAAAAAAGGCGGAACATGGGGTGAATTTTATTCAAGCGATATTCTCAATATAGGATATGGATCATGAAGATGGGACATATTCAGTGGGCAAGCTTGGACATATTTTCACTTATTTCCATAACTTCAATAACATTGATGATTAAATGCCTGACTTTCGAATGTCAGCTTGTTCGTTAATCGGCTTACACCCCTATATGGTATATTATATAGGCAAAATTAAACGCTCGACACGCCCCAAAAACATGGCCCAAAACGGCAATCAATAAACCAGCAATAGCCAGCAAGTTGCAATTGCAAAGATTAAAGACAATCTTGCATCGATTATGCACCACTTTTCACAGTTTTATAGTAGCAGCAAAGCAACCAATTAATTGCCACTAAATAGAGGCAGGCAACATATGGCAACCATACAATAAATATATCATTTGTGCCACAAATTGTGTGCGGTGTGTGGTGTGTGCGGCTCGGGATTTGCAGTTAACTAATTTGTTTCCGAATGAACGATATTTGGCAAATGTTTTAGTCGCCCACCCGAGCCGAGCCGAGCACGGCATATGTTGCATTAATTTGTCAAATTAACACCTTTTATGGCATAATAAAAAGTTTTAATAATAATTTCCAAACAACAACAAAAAAAAAAAATGGCAAAACAAATTTATGAGTTTTATTCTTTGTTGGTAGGGAATTTTAATTCGTTGATTTCGCTTAGCTGGCGCTGCAGTGATTGCCTCTCTTTTGGGCCAAATCTCACGCTAAATCATTGTTTGCAGCTGGGGCAACTACGAAAGCGACTCCGCCGAATCGACTGCAATGGCAACGACGACAACGACAACGACGACGCCATCGCCTACAACATTCATTCAAATTATGGAACCGCAGTGCGATCGAGATCTCGTTTTAGTCACGCTAAATTTATACAGAAAAGAGCTGGAAAAAATAACTAAAAAAAAAAATATAAAAAATGAAACTGAGAAAATGAAAAAGCCCCACAAACAATAAACACACCTTAAAAACCACCCAGCAGGGGGAACGAGACAGCAGTCTAAAAGGAGAGAGAGAGAGCGAGATTGAGAGAGAGAGGGAAGGCTTGAACGAAAAATCGTTTCAAGTTAATTAGCGAGCGCGACAAAAAAAAAAAACCCACCCAAAAGCGTAGATTTATGCACTCGGAAACTTGGAATTCCGTTTCGTCGGATTCAGTTGCGCGACCCCCACACCCTGCCTAGTTTATAGTCTCCCCCTTCGGAATAATTATGGGGTTTGACACTAATAAGCGTAATGAGTAAATTGCTGAGGAATTATACACATTTCTCTGTACAATATATGGGTGGAATGGAGCATTAGGTAAAGAGAACATTGGAATAATATCCAACTATCAATTATCCAAATATTGTACGAGTAGATGCATAATTGTACAGTTCAGTTCGCAATTGAAGTAGAGATCACCCGTGCAGTGACATCAAATAGTTTTGCCTATAAATATTGAATTGCATCTGCTGCATTTTATTGATTGATTATATGGCTAGCAATTCCATCAGTTATATTGCATCATATGACTCTTTATAAAGCAATCAAATGATTATCATTAAAGGGTTTGAGTTACACAAATATCTTTAACAATTAAACGATTCAAAAGAGTCTTTTGTAATCCAACTACTCTGTTGCACCATTTTCATATCTCCTTAGCGAGCAATTTAATTCCATTATGCCACAAAGAATTGTTCAATCGATCTGTACGCATAACTTATTTCACAATGGACTGACACTGTATTGCATTTCACTCCACAAAACAAAACACTTTAATTCACTTATTAATTCTTTAATCTTTCAGCTTTCAGGGAGCTAATCAAAAACGTCTTCGAATCACTCAGGCCACAGAGATAGCTGGTAAAATCACTTTCTTATTTGCCAACCCACCCGAACCACAGGATGGATCCATAGAGCCCACAGAGATTCCAGGGGATCACCCACCCAAATAAACCCAAGAATCCAAATTGCTTGTACAAACACACATTCACTCGCAATAAAAGGACACCCTGGAAATGAACTCCAGCCCCAAAGCCACCCGCAACATATGGAGTACATAAACTCCTCCCTGCAACACTCCAGCACTCCCTTACTCCGTCACTCCACTTAGCTGGCCGCATGAAATTATTGGGCAAACGATTACGGATTCCCTGCGGTGGCATAAACAAAATTCATGAGTGTGGCCATGATTGCCATGGCAGGGGCAGGAGGTAGGGGTGGATGGAGAAGGTAGAAGGGAGAAGGGAGGGTTCAGTTCACACACACTCGCACAGCAACGGAGGGTGGGAGAGGGCATAATGAGCTTAAGTTATGTTACATAAGCCATAAGGACACAAAAACCACTCGAGCAGACACTTCACAAGGGTGAGTACGAGAGCCTTCCTGCTGCGGTTGGGGTTTGCTTAGCTCCGTTGCTCCTTTGCTCTGACTCTTTCGCTCTCTGTATATCTATCTATTTCACTCTCTTTATACCCTTGTAATATAGTAAATTATTGTTATTTCAACTATACAAAATTTCCGACTAGGATCTATCATCAACAGTCGCCTCGGATATTTATGCATTTTCGAATTATCTATCTCAAATTCTGTATAGTTCTCACTGTTATAGAAAAGTTCCTTATGGAAGGATATTTAATGGGAATGGAACTCTGCTTAAAATATATCCAAACACTCTGCAAGAGTATGCTATTCCAGGGTACTTTGGTCTCTCCTTTTTGTTTCATGTTTTTTTTTGGTGGATGGTAAACTAATGAGCTGTGGGCTGCTGTGGTTTGGCAACGATGTGGAGTGGCATGGTGTGTGGTGTGTGATGTCTGCAGCTTGTTTGCACAACCGCTTTATGAGGCACTCAACACTCAACACACAACACACAACTGGAAGCCCCTCTCGAGTGTTTGCATTGGGAAAGCGAGTGAATGAGTGAACCGAGTGGCTTCCGCCAATGGGTGGGGGGGTGGACTTAGTTGTCGGCACTCACCTGAACTGGGGCGATCACTGTAGCGAGTGCAATAGACCCACGCCGGCCACACGATGGGTGTACCCGAGTCCTCTCCAGATTTTTTGGCTGTCTCCTTGGCTGCTGAGGCTGCTCCCCCTGACGGTGGTGGTGACTTGACCAGATCCACTGCCAGAGTGGTGGCCGTAGTGCTGCTGCTGGTGGCGGTGCTGTTCGAGTCGTTGCTGTTGCTGCAGATGTTCGCCAGGGAGCTGGAGAAGCTCAGACTGGAGTTGACCGCCTGGCTCTGGGCCAGATTAAGCGGCTTGCCCGACTTCTTGGGCGCCTTGATCGGATGATGGCTGTTGCTATTGCTATTTGAGTTGCTGTTGCTCCCGCCACTGCCACCGCCTGCTCCGATCTTCGGCTGGAGGTTCCCGACATTGCCACCCACCAGACGGGAGCCAAAGTCCGCCTTCAGGATGTTGTCGATGCTGAATTTGAGCGCCCGCTCGTGCAGATTCTCATTGTTGTTGTTGTGGTGATGGTGGTGGTGCTGCAGGTGATGGTGGTGGTTCAGTTGTTGCAGGTGGTGGTGGGCCTGCTCCCGCTGGGCCATCAGCAGCTGCTGCTGGTGCGAGTGGTGTCCCGTGCCCGTTCCCGTTCCCGGCGCTGCAATTCCCAGCGCCGTCGCCGTCAGCTGAGCCAGTGCATCCTGGCCCGTGGGCGCGGATACAGCGGCCGCTGCTGCTGCTGCCGCCGCCGCTGCTGCGGCCATCTGCAGCTGTTTGCCCGCTGCCGCCGCCGTCAGGGCATTGACGCGGGCGGCGGCCATCAGGTGCATCTGCTGCTTCATCAGCTCCTCGGCATAGAGCTGCGACTTGCGCAGGAACTCCTCCTGGAAGCTGCCGGCTGGGGGTCCGACCAGGGGCACGAGACCACTGCCCGGATCGGAGGCGGCATCTACTGAGACGGCGGGAGGATCTGTGGACACACTGCTGAAGGCCGACGGCCGGTAGAGCTGGCTCATCAGGAGCCGCTGCCGTGCCTGGGCCTGGACATGGACCTGGGCCTGCGCCTGGGCCTGGGCGTGGGCCGCTGCCTGGGATTGCTGCTCCTGGCCGACGCTCAGGACGCTGTTCTCGCTGCAACAGCTGGCGGCGTCCTCCAGATCGAGATCCTCCTCGATATCAGCATCCGCCGACTCCCCCTCATCCTCATCCTCGATGTTGAGGTGCCGCTCATTGCAGATGGAGGTGCGTCCTATGTCCGACTCGTCCTCGACCTCCTCCTCCACCTGCGGACTGCTGATGTGCTGCGACAGCGGCAGTGGCAGGCAGTCCGGATGCATTGCCTCCTCCGGCTGCTCCTCCTGATCTTGATCCTCCCCCTCCTCCTGATCCTGCTCCTGCTCCTCCTCCTGCTGCGGCTGGATGCGATTCAGTATGCTGAATTTGAGTGGAGGCGGGCGACTGCTTGCCAAAGTGGACATCAGTTACTCTGGGCGTTGATTCGGCGGTTTCTATCTTTATTCCTGCGCCTCTGCAAAGCCGACGGCATTTTCAGCCGCACGGCGAATTGAATCCACTAAATAACTGTTCCCCAAATCACAAAACACGGTAACACGGCAACACGCCCACACGCGCAGAGCGGGAGAATATGCGTCGCTCTCGATTTGATTTGAATTGAACATAAAAAGCATTAAAAGCCACAAAGTACCGACGCTCGATCGCTGGCGCTGGCCTGGCCGTTCGTTCCGAACCGCACGAATGAATGAATCGAATGAATCGAGTGAAGCTCTCGGCCATCTGGCAAACTGGAAAGTGGCTGTGAGCGGGTCCGAACCACCACCAGAACACGTTCTTCCTCTCTTTGGGTGCGTGCGCTCACTCGCTCACCCGCTCTCTCTCTCTCTCTCTTGCGACGGTTCGAACATCCAATGGAAGGCTTTGGGGCGTCCTACCCGGCTGGCACTGTAGTGTCATCTCGCTCTGGCTGGCAGGCGGACAATCTCCGTGCTGGTGCTGGTGCTGCGGCTGCGGCTGCTGCTGCTACAGCCTGTCAGTTGAGGTTATGTTAAGTGTTCGTACATTTGTTAATTAAGTGCGTCGTCGCCCCGAAAACTCCACTTCACTCTTCCAGCGCGCTTCCAGGCCACTTCACCTCTCTCCCTCTGGGCCCGCTGATGTTCTGTGTGCTGGCTCTTGTCTCTCGTTTTGATTATGCGCTGCAGCATTTAAGTCGTAAATCTCGTTCTATGTAGGTTCCACTGTCGTCGTCGTCGTCTCCCTGTTTTCTGGCTCTGCCTGCGGTCTGGCATCTGCAGTCCTTTTAGTGGCATCCTCCATCCTGTTTTATATACCCAGCGCCCATGTCGTCTGTCTCTCTGTCTGTCTGTGTGTGTGTGTGTGTGCCCAGTCTATATACTCTTGCAACACATGCCACAGAGCCTTGTGTTTCGTTTGGTTTGGTTTCGTTTCTTTTGACGTTTTTTCCTCTTGTTTTCTTTTTTGCAAGCATTTTGCGCTTTTTGATGTCATTGTTGTTGCTTTGCTTTTCGTGTGTGTCGTTAGCTGCGCTTTATAAATCACCACCACAATTTCTGTTTCTGTTTCTGTTCTGTTCCAACATCTGCTGTGATTTCATAATTGCTTTCGATTCTGTTTTTGCTGTTCTACTTGTTTTTGTAGTGGCCTGTCCTCCTGCCCCCCACACCTCACCACACCACAGCACATCACACACCCATTCCATTCCATTGGACAACATTGATGATAGTTTCTGCGTAAATGAATACAAATACAGGAGCGTAGTCAGCATACACAGGAGGAGGGGGGTATAAGGGATGGCAACCCCTTTCCCGTGTGTTTTGGCTTGTCTAATTGGCCAACATTGTTTTGTAGCAGGCATGGCTTTGTGTTCATAAATCTGCATTTAGCTTTCCTTTCAGCTATTTATGACTTTTGTGTGTGTGGCATGTGTGGCATGTGTGGCATGTGTGTGGGGTGAAAACAAGTTTGCAATGAATAATTGAGGTTCCGCCTAAAAATAACTGATAATAGATACAAGATCTCCAAGAAATCTTTCAATTAAAATCAACACACAACTTGATTCAATGTTGCAATAGAATTTTTATACATTCTTCCAAATATCCTCGCAGGACTGGGTGTTCCATTAGCCTTATCTCGTTGGGGCCATGTTGTGTGTTTAATGGATCATATTTCATATCTGGAATGGCCCATCAAAGTTGCACCTTCTCCGCTTATCGCAGACAGCATCGGATTGGCCGTAAACAACAAGCAACTAAAAATATCGGAATTCCAGCAATCGGTTTTATCGCTGCTGTTGAACCCATAAAGCTCCCCGGGATCATGGAAATTTTCGAACTCGACCCCGAAGCTGTCCACGCTTTATTATCGCTCGCCCCAGCGCACAACGACTACGATCGGCCATAATGCATACGGATCGGAGGACCACGCCCCAAATGCACACACCACACCCTACATACCCCCCGTCACACCTTCCCAGTTAAACCAATCCAGTTTAATAACTTTGTTGCAACATTACAAAGTCTTGAGCTGCAGATGCCGACGCTGCGATAGCCCCCCCCAAACCGACGAATTAATCAAGCTTAATTTCAGCTTTCGACAAAAGAAACAATTATACAGCGATTAAACAATAACAACAACAGAAAAGAGTGGAGATGAAAAGAAAATAAGAGAAAAACAAGCAGATGTAATCCACGCGGAACCCAGCACCACGAATTATGAATAAAATTAAACGCAATTGCTCAAAATGTCTGAAAAGCGATCTAACCCAACCAGCACCAGCACCAGCACCATCCAGCCCACTCTCCGGCACTCCGGCACCCCCCCTGCTGCCATCCCTCTCTCTCTCGATGAGCAGATTCCAGCCAAGAAGAGAAAAGAAGCAGAAAAGACATGATTAAAGCCGCGCACGAAACGCTTTTCACATAAAAGACGCCGCATGCGGCATTCCCATTCGAAGCGTAAGCGATCTCGCTAGTTAATCGGGCAGAAAATCTTCATCAGAAATGGACGGCAAACAGCCACTGAGGGGCCAACGTTGAATTGTGGCGACAATGGGGATACCCGCTACACCCGGACACAAAAGTAAGAAAATATTTAATTATTGTATTAAATATTATTTATTAATAATACAAATATTAATATTATGTATCAATATTTTTTTTATTTTGGATTAACTTGGGTTCTGATTAAATCCATTGTCATGGTGTTTAATTTAATGGATTATACTTTTGTCTCAAAAAAATAAATACCTTAACAAAAACTTCTGTAATGCAAAGTATACATGCATTTACTGATGGCTTCCCTCTGCCTGTCTCATCCACCGCCCCAGAAACCATATCTACCCTTGCACACCACGAGTACGGGGTATCGAGAGAAGTAAGTAAAGTTACTCAAACTAAAATAAATACAATCAAAACATGAAGCCTACAACGCAAGCAATAAGTAACAGCGACAACGACAAAAGAGCAAAGCGCGCCGGCGAAACATTACAAGACTTGGGGCTTGGGCTCCATCGCAGCAGCGGCAGCAGCAACAGCAACAGCAACAAATAGCATAATCGCATCGAGTGGCAGAAGCAGAGGCAGCGGGCAACTCCTCCATCTTCAAGTCTCCGCTCCAGCACACCACACCGCACACAATTTAGATGCGCGGCAATAGATAAACTTAAAGAGGCTTTTATTTAAACAAAGCTGCTCAGCCAGGCGGCAGGCGGAGCGACAGAGACGGACAGCAGCCAGGAGCGCAGGGCAAAAGAGTGGGGACACAATGGCAGAGATGCTATTCAATGCTACAAACGCTTATTACATCTCCTAGTCCCTTTGCCATGGAGTCCGCTCCTGTGTACGCTCTAGCAGTAGCGAAACTGCGCCTCCTACTCCCAGAAAGAGCCCCACAGAGAGAGGGGTACGGGGGAGTGTCGGGAGTTTGGGGAATCAAAGCTGAGGTTTGGGGCCTCACTGCTGTCGTTCGAAGCGCAAAAATGTATGTAGCTTACAAACGAGCAACATCAGCAGAGCAGAGCAAGAGCTAAGCGGAGCAGTGCTCCAACCGCGACTCAGTGATCTCTCTCTCTCACTCGCAAGAAGGATCGATCGATGGCTCTCGTTAGCTGCGGTGCTGCAATGCGCTCGCTGCCTGCTCTCATTGTCAATCTCATTGGAGTGCATTCGTTTTCTTACCCAGTCATTGGCGGGTAAGAGGGGGTCTGTTGTATCCATTGGGTTGTATGTCACAGGCAGGAGGTTTCTTTCTGGGGATCCATAAAAGCTGCCATATTCTAGAATGTTTTTTCTGACTATCCAAGGTATCCAGCAGTCCCGAACACTGACTATTTCGGGCTTGCTTGTGTTTACGCTCTGTCGCGATTTTCGTACTTGGGAGACTCAGAGTCGCTCCAAGGATCGGGCTCAAGCTCAGGCTGAGGCTCGTTTGTGGCTGATCTTTTAATCGAATCGTAGCATTTATTATGTTCAGTGGGATTGGGACTTGGATTTGGATTGGCCCGACTGTAATTGCTGTGATTGCGGCGATTGTTGCCAAGCCGAACCGACTGTCTGTTTTGTGGCTGGTTTGTCTAATGTCGTTTAGCAAACAATGGACATGGCCGTGTCATAAGTTAGGCCTGAACCACACAGCGGACAACAAGCACATAAAAAAATGCCCAACATTTGTTGCGCAAATTAATAATTTGCTTTTCCAAGGCTTGCGCAAATCCCCCAGCGGCCTGTTTGATTTGTCTTTGGATGTGATTGGATTTGATGTGATTTCTCGTCTCAATTTATGCTTGCCCGAATGGAATTTGCATAATTTATGGTTTGGATTGGCTTGGATGGAATGGGAGGGGAGGGAGGAGAGCGTGCTGGTCTGGTCTAATTGCAATTAACACGTGACGACAGCAGAGTCGAGCCATCATCGTTATCGCCATCATCGTCATTGTGGAGGGGGGGGAGCAGTTAACAGTTAACAGTCGACAGTCAACAGTCGGCAGTCAAACTCCCATTTCGAATTCAATTGAAATCCAGCAACAACATCACCATCAGCCCCGACTCCCCAGCTTCGTTCCACTTGTCGACAGTTTGGAGAGAAAAATCAATAACAGGCATGTGGAAATTGTATTTAATTGACAGTTAAATGCTTTTCAACTTGCCATGGAAATCGATTGGGCCTGGCCCGACCCGGTGGTGCAGGGAGGGATGGCTCTCAGATGGCTTGGGGTTGGCCTGAGTTGGGTTTCGGTTGGGTTTCTGGGGGGGTTATCAATGGGCGGAGTGCGTAAAAGGCAATTAGCAGGGGAAAAGTTTTTAAGGGAAATTAATAGGCAGAAACAAATTGTATTTTTCAAGTGTGAGTGACTCCAAACGATGGGGAGGATATGTAAATATTAGAGGTAATTTCAATTCGCACGAATCTACTTTAAAATGAGTTTTAATGGAAGTTTAAGCATTTCTTGGAGACTCGCAATGTCAGAGGACTGCTTTGCTGCTCTCCTGTCGAATTCTGCTGCAATATATGTACTTGAGTGCTGAGATCCATCCTACCTAATTGGTCAAACTGTGTGTCGTTTGTACTTTCCGAACGTAAAATTATATGCCATTAGCAATACAATTCAATTTCTTAAAGTTTTCATCGGCTATTGGGGATCATTTTCTATTCAATTCTGCCGTTGCATGTCGAACCCTTGCTGCAACACCCATCCACCAGTCCTAGTCCGAGGCCGAGTCCGAGTCCCCAA